TAAGTGGAGAAATGAAGCCTAATGGATCAAACGTGCGCGCAACCAAGGATAGCATATTGCGTTTTGTGCATGCTACCTTATGATTATTAATTTGAAAACTGAAGTTATCATTTGATGCCTCCCATTTTAATCCCAACACCTTCAAACTACTATTATCGAATTCTTTCGTTTGGTTAAGTTTCAAATCATTTGGAAGGTTTGCTAGTACTTCGGACGAATTTGACATCCATTTAATCATCTGAAAACCCCCCGATCGGAACATTTCAACTAATTGGACCTGAATTTTGAGAGCTATATCATTGTTCGGCATGCTACTTATAAAATCATCCATGTACATGTCACGATTGACTGGATCAACCGCAAGAGGGAAACGTTCAGATTCATCTAAACATAACTGTTTCACCACTCTTAGGCTGAGAAATGGTGATGATTTAACCCCGAAGCTAAGCCTATTTAATTCATAAACTGAAATTGGTTCATTCACATCGAATCTCCACAAGATTCGTTGATATTTTCGATGAGATTCGATCAATTCAATTTGTAGGTACATCTGACGCAAGTCCGACACAAGAGCTATGGGAAAAATCCGAAAATTCAACAAAATATCTACGGGATTCATTTGTAACTTCGGACCAGTATATAACACATCATTCAATGATTTTCCTGTTTCGGTTTTCATGCTGGCATCAAAGACAATACGGCAAGGGGTGGAAACACTACTTGTTTTGAAAACGCAATGGTGCGGGATGTAATAGGCGGGTAAATCAATTTCCTTAGGATCAACTAACGACATAAAACCTTGATCGAGGTAGTCGTTGAGAATTGAGCAATATGTTTGACGTAGGCTTGGCAATTTTTGCAACTTTCCTTCGAGTGAAATCAGTCTATTTCTGGCTAAGTGGTATGAATTTCCTAATTGTAAAGGATCATCACAGAAGGGAAGCGATACAGTATAGCGCCCCTGTTCATCCCTTTTAACATTATCAACGAATAATTTCTCACAAATATCTGTCTCTGGAATTTCCGGTGAAGGCGAATTGTCTTCTATCTCCCACAGTTTCTCAACTAATGATTCTAGGTTCGAAAATGCACAAAAAAAATTATGATCACCTACTTTTTCCATATTCAAGTAGGCCGAACCCATTACCATATATCCAAATACTGTTTCTATAGCACTAGGAGTGCCTGGTAAGCCCAAAATCCGATGCGACCCGATAATTTCGGAAAACATCGTTGCTCCTAAAATACCATCAATCACTCCCGGAAAATTAAAAGTTGGGTCAGCTAAGGAAATGTTTTTCAAATGGTGCATTGAAGAAATATCAACTGGTACGTCCGGTAAACAATTGGTGATTTTTTCTACAATCAACATTTCAATTAAGAATTTTTTATCAGAATGCATATTGGATGTGATCATTAAATTGGTTTTTCCGAAAACCGGTTTGCTAGAACCTCCGATCCCGATAATGTTGGACGAAAGTTTGGAAAAAGCTAATCCTAGCTTTTTGCAGCAATCGATGGTCAACAAATTCGACATAGACCCGCTATCTAATAAAAACCGAACTTGTTGTTCTTTATTCCAGCGATCAACTACTTTGACCAGGACCGTACTCAATAAAATTGTTTGGTGTCTCTTCAATTTTGATTCATTGTGTATCATAGTAAGTCTGGTACATAGACTATGTATATTTTCAGGCACATTAGAACTTTCAGTGTTTTCTCTATTCAAACACGAATTTGAGTTCGTCATTATTTCAACAGTATTATTTTTTTGGTTTGGCTCATTCTTACATAAGAGGGTATGGTGACGATGTTTGCATTTGAGGCAATTGAATTTGGATTGGCACGCATTCACTTTATGTTTATTTGAAAAACAATTCAAACATAAATTATTTTCTTTTATCAACTTGAAGCGCTTTTCTTGTGATGACTCATGAAAATGTTTACAATCTTTAAGTAGATGTGATCCTTTATGACAGGCAACGCAGGAAGAAAATGGAATGGTATTTATTTTGGAACTACTACACGTAGATTCTGTGAAAAAACTCTTAGTTGGTTTCATTCGATTAGACGTGTTAACCATAGCATTATTGGCTATAAAACGTGGTTTATCATTTCTGATGACAATTTTGCTTTGTTGGCGTAAAAATTTTAACAGCTCATCGTATTTAGGCAGATCCTGGCTAGATCTTACGAGTTCAAAAGAACTAATTGTTTCTTGGGAAAGTTTCGATAAAGCAATATGTGTCAAAATATGATCATCTAAGTCGTCCAACTTCAGTCTCTTCAGAGCTGACACATTAGTGTCGAATCTTTCTAAAAACATTTGTAAACTCGAGGGATGGTTGCTGCTTACACTTTTACAGTTCACAATCCTATCGAGATATAAGTTGAACAAATATCTCTTGTCGTCGAAATTTTCTTCTAACAATTTCCAAATTATATCATAGTTATCGGGAAGCGCTTCTATCGAGTTGCATGTTTTCAATGCCTTTCCAGACAAGCTACCTAATAAATATTATAATTTTTCGGCTTTTGAAAGTTCTAGCTTTGAGTGAACAAAATGTTTGAAATTTTCATGGAATAACGGCCACAAAGTAAGATCTTCCCCATCAAATTTTACTAATTCTATTTTTGGCATTGACAAGCGATGTGGTGCATTAGTAGTTTGAGTATTTTGACTGCTAGCGGTACTTGTTGTCAGAAATTTACTCGCAAAATATTCAATATGAGAATATAAGTCCTCAAAACCATCTCTAATATTATAATTAGGCGCTTCATCTGGCTTCAGTTTTTGTTTCACAATGATTATCTGCTGGACAAGATTCTCGTGTTCCTCCGCAGTTTTGGTAAATGTATTATAACGAACACTAAAATTTTTCGAAGCGGTTTGATCAACTGGGCTTCGCTCTAAAGCCAACCCTGCCTCATAGCAGAGCTGAGCTCTACGAAAGACGTTTTCGCGTTTGGCAATGAGTCTATCCAACTCCAATTCAGTCGGATTAGGCGGATTAGGCATGGTTATGTAATTTGATCTAACTGAACTGATCCGACAACTTAATTATGAAGACCCAACAAATACTTGGGTATTTGCTTGGCCACTCATGTGGTAGATATCACTCCGATATCACTTGAAGAATTCTCTAAAGTAGGTATACAAAACGATATTGGGTATTTAAAGTTTCAATTATAAATATAGATATGTATATTTATTTGGTTCACGAACTATAAGTAGGTACAGTCGGTACCGGTACAACAACGAACGAATTTGACAATGACGTAAGAATAAACGATATGGAATTTGAATCGAATCCGGCTCGAAGGACCAAAAATGTTAGGAATATTATCTCATTATTTCAACTGCTCTTAAAAAAGTGGACTGTAAAGGACTTACCGAAATATGTTGCGGCTTTCTCTGACGTCACTGTCACTATTTGAAAGGGAAATCAGGATAGGGCTAGAGAGTATGGATCAGTAAAGGAAAATAGTGAAATATTAAATATTATATGTTGTCGGCCGGTCACGAAAATGCTAGATATTGTTTGGTATTGTTTTTCTTTCGTCGTGTGAGATACAACTGAACTCTTCCTTTTGGATGTCATTCCACTACCCATGGAAATACGTATATGCAAAAAAGAATCAGTACAAAAAGTCAAGAGACCCTTTTTTGTTAGACCAAATATATTCTTTCACGAGGTGAATTTACTATGAAGTATTTGACACGATTCTTTAACTGATATACAGGCAACCAAACATACAATTTTATATCGGCCAAAACAAACATTGTGTTGAGAAAATTCAGTATCTTCCTGGAAATACAAATCAAGAAATATCACTTGAGATCACAGATTTTGTGAAACAATATGAAATGTTGCAGTACATTTCACTTTGAGAATACAGCAGTATCTGGTTATTAGGGCTACCATGGCTCTTATTAGGCAGTTAAAAATTTAATCAATGAAATAATTGAACATGTCCTTACCTATTCACGAATTGACGAAGATGATTTCCACTTGAATGGCATTATTATTTATGCATATAATAGCGTTATTTGGCATGAACACTCCTAACCACTTCATTTTGTTGGCCTTTTCACAGTTTTACTTAGTATCTCCGTATCTCGAACAGAGCTCTCCAATCTCGACTGACAATTATAGAGTGACAGGCTGACAGTGAGAAAATTTGTCAACAAATAATGCATGATCATGAATGCACAGGTTATGTTGAATAGCTCATTTGACACAGGAAATAGATGACGCCACTTGTCGTCCCTTCAAAATTTCATTACAGGGCGATTTGGCGATTGTCGCTGAATGAACAGTCATGTATAACCCGTCAGACAGTCCATTTAGCCGTCATTGCTCTCGCGGTTCTCTTGAATGAACTTCATTGTTTCAAAATAAGTTATATTAATTATCTAAAAAGTGGTGTCTTCAATAAAAACGTGAAAAAGAATGCCTTCAAGAACAAGGGGGGAGGGGGGGGGGAAAGTTGGCAGTAGAATTACTAGAATACTCGCCGCTTGTGTTCCTGGTAAGAATATCACGCCGATTCGAGAACTTGAAGGTAAAAGGTTGAGTTTACAAAGATTCTCAAACTCAATTTTCAGTTGTATTCCTATTTTTAGTGTCAAACCTTGAAGTTGAACATGTGTTTTAAAATCGCACTGATTGTTTCTTAATTGGCTATTCTAATTATTTGTATTTCTTTAAGCGACCTTGAAGGTTTCACCTTACGTTAGCATCAGAATGTCCTGAAGTCTTGAAAAACTTAGATATCATTGGTAGGTATTGGACCATCTCCACCAAAGTATCTGAATCCAGTTTGTGACGAAATTGCTCAACAACGATTTAAAAACCCTACAACTTCCACAGCTTGTAATAAAACTCTTCTAGAGTTGACACCACAAAGAAATAGTGAGTAGCATCTACTGAAATGTATTATATTCCAGACAGAACTCCAATTTTGAATAGTAGTAAACTTTCTGATGTGTATTTTAGGACAAGAAGTAAATAATAATGAGTCTATCAAGTCGTTTATTGGAGAGAACATTATAGACTTAATATTGCTGGAAGGAAGTGCGATTATGGAGCTGTTGAATCAAGAAAACATTGCAGAAGCAGAGTCCTTTGATCATTTGTTTTGCAATGAGCTCAACCAAATGGAATTTGGTTAGTGTCATATTTCATTGAAATACCTACATCACAAGTATTATTCGATTTGATTTTTAGACAAGGAATTATGCGAACCCGAAATTATTGAAAATTGTGAAGATGCAAGTTCCATGAATTTGGAAAATAAGTGCAAGGGGAATTTAGAAGAAGCAGATATGGCAAAAAAAGATTTACTAATGAATATTGCAGACACTGTATTTGAAGACCCAAGTCCTAACAGCGACAATCAGGTTCATATTCCAGAAACACAGATAGTAATAAAAACATTGTTACAGGACATGGTAGGTGATGATCAACCGAAAGACAGCGTTGAGTAAGATCCTAATTATACTGTGCAAGTCGAAGAAAATACCAGTGAAAGTTCAGAAGCTGACGATCAAAATGACGAACCACCTCTAGAAAAACTGAAAAAACAGACAGTAACTTGAATTTTCTCGGAAAGAAGGTGAAAAACGAAAGAGAAATAGAAATTCTAGCCAAGAATATACAACAGCAAAAAATATACAAGAAATTCAAAGAAAAATGAGAGATCTCAGAGAAAACTATACAGGAATAAAAGCAAGGAAAAGTTTGATGAGAACATAAGAAAAACATTTTTTAACGAATATTGGAGTCTGGGAACACACGACAGAAAAGTTGCTTATGTTGCAAGTCTGATAAACGTTGAAGAAACCGAAATAACAATGAATAAAGTGGATGGAAAATCAACCAGGAATAGACTTCGTACATATATTTACAATTCCGAAATAAATGGTCAAAGAATAGTTGTCTGCAAAAGTTGTTTTTTAAACACCTTAGATGACACGGAAAAATTCATTTCATCTACAGTTAACAGTTATTAATAAACACAAATCAAGTAGTGGAATCACTCATGCAGAAAAAAGAGGTATGCATACTCCTATACATAAAACACCACAAAATCAAATCGACGAAATAAAATTCCACATCATTTCTTTCCCAGCTTATGAAAGCCATTACTCAAGACGCCACTCAGAGATGCAGATTAGAAATAAAGCAAAATGTATAATCTATACTGCGAAAAATATACCGAGAAGCCTGGTGTCTATAAAAATATACGCTCAAGAATTCAATAAACTCAATTTAAAATTTAAAAAACCCAAGAACGACACATGTTCAACATGTTGGCTCGAGGTGAATATTGTAGCAGCGAAGAGTTTGAAGTAACTTTCAAGAAAGAGTCAGATGAGCACCTTACTTTAGCAGATTTGGCATATGAAGCAAAAGCAGCTGACAAGAAAAAAGATTTAGACAATCTTTTCCACATTACATGTCCATTTGACTTCCAGCAGGTTTTACCAGGCGCGTAGGTATGTTTTTTTTCTAGGGGGGGTACTCAGTAGCGGAAATTTGATTATAATTTGTGGGTTGCCTAGTAGTACAACGCATTTCAGTGTATAATAAATCAACACAAAATGGTAGCTCCAACTTTTATTAAAGTTGTTTCTATATCTTAGAATATTCAAAATTACCAAAATAACAATTATCAGCCATTCAAATGAACAAATCAAAATAAATATTCTCGATGAAAACATATTTTATATGCGTATTATATGAACTAGATGAAAAAAAAAAGAAATAATCTCTCAATTTCACCATTAGATAATATAAAGTAGATAACTCATCATTCAAAACTCTTGCTTAAATCTAATTAACAAAATATCAGGTACCCCGTGACTAGATTATAAAAAAAGTCTTTTACATTGCTTTGAAAACCTCGAGGAAAACCTATCGATATCAGCATCTATATCTATTTCAATATATCTATGAATATTTAATAGAAAGTTAACCCGACTAGCCTGACCCATTGTACACCTCAACCATGATTTCAGTGTCTTACTTAAGTGTATAGAAAATGATCTTCCAGCACTCGCCACACTCACCGGCATAACAGATTTTTTCTGCAGGAGTGTATAAATAGTGAGAAATATTTCGAAACTGAAATGCTGTAAAGTATCTAAGGCTGTTTCTTTGGGTAAATTATTATAGGTTTATTTTTTGGTTTGTTCCCATTCATTTTTCCAAAGATCTATTTCTGATTGCCACAAATCTGATTAAAATGTTCGGGAGAGAATTCATTTCTAAATTCACTAACATATATTTATTATTTTTCTAAGTCTTTTACTGTTTTACTATTTTTGTGGTTTCAGGGGGGGGGGTACTGTCCCCCAGTACCCTCCCCTTATCTACGCTGGTGGGTTTTACAAACTCGTTACCTATCAACAAATAAGATGTCCTATTTGCGTCCGGTTGCGATCCATATAATATAACAGTACATTACTGCTCTTCAGGAGAGTCCACGCTCTTTATGTGGCCATAATGCACTGCGGGAAGAGGAGCCAAAGGAATAACATCTCCCATTTTTGCATTTTTAAAAGGTCTTCCAGAAGAAGTCAAGCAAATTGTGTTTTATTCGGACACAAGTGGGGGGCCAGAACAAAGATTTTTTTATTTGTGCAATATGTTTCATAATGTAATTAATCTACACCAATTATTATAAATCATCAGAGACCACGAGTTTTTAGTACCTGGACACACTCATCTTGAGTGTGATGTGGGCCATGCCCTGATAGAAAGAATAACGAAAAAAAAACGCCCATTGATATTCATCTGCCCAGAGACTGGTATCAACTTATTAGATCAACGAGCAAGAAAATAAGTTTAAAAGGTGGAAATTATGGATAGGGACCAATTTTTTTCTCTTTTCGAACTTGTCTCAAGAACCGGGCCCTTACAGGTTAAACAGAAATACTTCAAACTCAGAAGCATTTCTTGGCTAAGGTAAACGAAAGAATCAGTGGTTAGATTTCAAAATAGTTTGAGTGATGGAAGAATTCAAAGAAGTAAAGGTTTTAAAGAAAAATCGAAATGAAATTGATATGAAAAATGTTAAGCTTCATGGTTCATTTCATACAAAGCTCAGAGACCTATAAGCAGAAAAAAGAAGACTTACTAGAAATCGTGAATAACCTTGACAGAGAGGTACAGGATTATTGACGAAATTTATCAACAGAAAAAAGTATTCAGACGGGCACAGATCCCGATGTCGACAGATATCTTGCCCCAGAAGAGGAATCCGAATTTTAAAACAGAATCCTGAAAATCTTTTATTGTCTATTATTTACTACCGAAATATAATAAATGAAAAAAAATCATATCTAGACTTGTCCCTTCATAAGTGCGTTTAGATTATAGCTAGCGTCAGATTAAAGCACATATACCTTTTCCACCCCTTGTCTATTACATACATTGTTGAATAATAAGGAAATAAGTCATGGGAATTATGGTGAATACTAATTATTTCTTCAAAAGTACAGTATTGCTCTCAAGGAAATATATTTATTTATAGTTATAAGATCAATTTTGTCAATGGTCAATTTGGACTCTAAAACCCTCATTGATGTGTCCCAAAATTTCCTAGCGCAATTCTCCAACAATGTGTAATATTGACCTATCACCTTTCAACCGCCGACCACAGATTTGTAATCAATAATTACAGAGAGGGATCACAAAACGAAATTTTCTAAGATGAATAAACGAAACGAATAATATATTATAGTGAAATGCATAAAACACTGCCAATGCTGTAACTTCTGGATCATCATTAATAATATAATAATAATAATAATAATATAGAACTTTATTCAATTGCCTTTTACTGACAAAAAATATATTATACTTTATCACTTCCGGTTCAACTAGAAACAACCCCAACTTTTGATTTTAAAATAGGACATTCACCTTTTATATTGTGACTTTTGATCAAAAAAAATATCTAGTGTTTATAAAACGATCTCCAGAATCCAAACATCGAAATATATACAGGGTATCCAATTTAAAAATCAAAAGTTGAGGTTGATTCCGGGTTGAACGGAACGAAATGAGACAAATATTTTTTCGTGGATGAATGAGCAATTCGGTAAAGTTGATACCCTCGAAATTCCAAGATCCGAACTTCCGAATGATTCAGAAGTTACAACAGTGGTCGTTTTTTGTGCAGTTCTCTGTAAACCAGTAAACAAGTTCAAGACCTATCAGGGTATCACAACTTGAGCTCAATGAAAATCTCACGGTTTTCGAAATATTGGGAAAAAAATGAATTCCTACTTTCATTTTTCAAGCTAGTAAGGAGCGTTTCATGTTAATTCTTATTTTTGATAAATGATACTGAATAGTAGTTGTTCGGGAATCGCGTGTTCTGTTCAATTTCTAATGATGCATACATTATTATCATCAACTGTTATTTCTTCATCACTCATTTCATGAAATATCAGTTACAAGTGTTGAAAAGGAATATTCTCAGATAAATTATGGACATACAAAATGGATATATATTTATATAAAGCAATACATTGAGAATTCGCATTCTCTATGTGATGAGAATATTTACTCTTTCTCAGTTGATTCAATAGAAAACAACTACTTTCCTGGCTATATGCCACGACGAACATTGAATTATATCTATTGAACACACACGATGAGAGTTTGAAAATAAAATATAAAAACTTCTGAAATTGAGAATTTGCATTCTCCTTCAGACAAAAATATGTATATGCACACATCATTCTGAATATTCAACAGAAAACAACTACTTTCCTGGCTATTTGCAATACCGATGAGATGGCGATGGATATTTCCATGCCATTGGGTTGTTGAGTTGAGTGTCAGTGTCAACGAAAAATATCATTCTCGACATCAATATTCTCCCATCGAGATCCAGTGTTACATTCGCACCCAATAGCCGAAAGCAAGCAGAGTTCGAACTCCAAGCGGAATTACCTGATACCCATTCGCTGCAGCTAGAAGAAGCTGATCCATAGAACCTGCCGGAAGAAAGGTAAGGATTTCTTGTAACCTGTCGGTAACTTTCAATTTTTTTTAAGCTTATACAGTCCACTTAGCATACTCAGACATAAAATTGGCCCTTCTCGTCCGGATTTGAAGGTTTCTGACCTGATTTGTGGATTCATAATAATTTATGCATGATTAGTGACTTCTTGAGCAGCATATCTGATGCTATAACACGAGAATCTCGACATATTCTCTATCTTGATTAGCCAAAAACTCAAGTATAAGCAAACTCTCTTTATTTCTCTGTGCATCTGCGCGAATATTATTTGCTTGATTGAAGTTTTTTTGGCTCGAGTAATTAGACTGCTGAGTGTTTACCTCATATCAAATCTAGAAATTAAACTATGGCATCGGACGCAAAAAAAGCTGAAACAATTGATTGCTTCAAGATCTTCTGAGATTATAAAATTAAATGAAATAAAGAGGGTAGCTGAATTATGTCTTGGAG